CCTCCTTACCAATGGAATACGAAAGGAATAAGGGTGATTTACTTCTCTGTACACGGGATGGTGGCTCTTCGCTGCTATTATCTGAACTAGAAAATGTATCTCATCTGAACAATAGCGATAGAGTAGCGATAGGCTTGCACGCTGCGTTTATGGGAAAGAGGTTGTAGGGTTGAAAATAATTCATCGCCAACAAGGTCACGTAAACGCTTTTGAATGTTCCACTTGCGTTCTGGGGTGAACATGAGTCTCAATAGGCGCTCAAAGTAACCATTCCTCGTGAATGGCGAAAATTAAGGCTGAACTCGGTGATGATAAAACTTTACTAGAATGTATCGACCGAAGCGTTGTGATTTTAACAACTAACACAGTTGTATCTTGTATCAACACGTCAACACGAGAACTAGATTCTCAAATCTCCCAGTTTTCAATTCGTATTCCATTAAAATCATCTTTTTAAGCGACTTCCTCCGTCTCTCGTATTCTAATATATCAGCGATCAGCATTTGAGCTGAGTTAAAAGCCTGTATTTCGAATCCTGATTTTCAACGCATCACTTACGTTCCATTTGGAAGGTTGGTGTAATACATTCTTCCAACCTATTTTGCCTATTTAATCTTGTTTTGTTACCAAGCTAAATTGACTAATTATTCCTAATTTACACGTTTTCCCCTAGTCTTTTTATACAATAGTATCATACCAGCATTATCCTATTGGCTTTCGAAGTGGATCTTAAATATTTATCAACTTCCTGTGAACGTTTGCAGCACCTTCCTTTTTCAAAAACAGACATTCTACGACAGATTTTTGCATTCTATGTTTGTCCAAAGGGACAGCCATTTCGAAAGAGGATTATGAATAGAAAAAGAAAAGATGCTACCACAATTTTCGCTTGGGCTTCTAGGCGCTTTTAAGTTTTCAAAAATACTAGGGATTTTGATTAATTAATACTTCTAATTAAATTACAACAAGCAATACTATTTGATCGGACCTGCGTAAATTTCAAGAATTAGTTATTCCAAAAAAAATTTCGCTTGAAGATGGAACAGAGCTTGGTACTTTAATTCAATTTAATTCAAATAATTACATTGAAGTTTTCGGCTCCTGTTTTGAAACATGAGAACTCTAATGTATCGTTGGAATCATATTTTTAAATAAATAATTATATTTATGTTCTACTTTTGTATCGAGCACTATTTTTTAAAAAATAATAACAAAAATACTAAAGAACTTTGGATTATTTACGTAACGAGTTCTTTCCTATTTTCTATATATTTTTACACACACACACACACACACACACACACACACACACACACACACACACACACACACATACATACATATATATATATATATATATATGTGTATATATATATATATATATATATATATATATATATATATATATATTACGCCATTTTGTAAATGGAGCCTAGTACAAGTTTTCCGTCTTAACGCGAAACACTTAATGCACTGATGCGTGAAGGGGTCAGTTTTGCTGTCGTCTTCCATCACACTTTCCTTGCCGCAGCTGGTGGGCAAGCAGTCGACTTACCAAAAAAAAAAAAAGAAAAAAGAAAAAGAAAATGAAAAAAAAAGAAGAAATAAAAAAAGAAAAACTCCTCCGCACATAGACTTCTCACTTGCACGTCGGAAGGTGAATAAAATACGCACAGGCGGGGTTCCTATGACGACCACCGGCATTAAATAGGTTGCTTTTTTCTTCTTAGTTTTTTTTCTTCTTTTTTATCGGTGCATCAAGGAGACGGAAGATTCGTTGCATGCGACTACATTGGACTGATTACCTAATTTATTGCAGAGGCGTGAGCAGAATTGTTTATGTCTCAGAAAGGCACAATGATTAAAACCCTAGAATGATATCTGAGATGTCTGCTCTTCCTCACCCGACTCGTAAATGGCGTAAAAATTTTCCTTATGGTAATGGTGAGAACGACCGTTTCCATACAGGAAACATTCGGTATTCATTGACCGAACAGAATTACCGCCAGTTAAAATTTATAAAATCTTTCTATTAAAACAGCTTTTTCAAGGGAAGAGGCTCCTCAAGTCCACTAACTGTTATCGCTCTTTCTAGTACTGATGATTCCTTCTTAAATAAAAATAGAAATTTAGTGTGGAAAGTAAATGTCTTGATTATATAATTATTTTCCCTTCTAGTTATATGTACTAAACATTTTAGTTGTTGCTACTGCTAGAAGTCTTCAAGTGATGCTTTTTTTATTTGATAAAGTTCTTTGTGATTCTCTAGCGTCAGTCCTTAAAATCTGATGAACGGTTGTTTTCTTTAAGACTTAGAGACAATATTAAATCAGATCTGAGAAAACGGTAGTATATAGCTGACATTTTAGACATTTCGGGAAGAATTAGACATCATTCATGGCATCCACGTGAGAGGTTATTTAAAAAACAAGACTTTGCTTCTTGGGTTAATATTTTGGTTTCACGGCATAAATTTCGTTGGAAGCAAAGAAAAGAGAGTACTGAACAACAGTTCAGTACTCTCTTTTCTTTGCTTAATATCAGTCCTCTTATATGACAGTGAATGCTGGTTAACTTCATCACAGATGAGGAAGAGACTTGAAGCAACACAAAGGTGGTTCAAAAGAAGGGTACTGATAATACCATGGACCCCAAATTTGAGCAACAATAAAGCTTGAGAAAAAATTAGAGAGCAAAAAGGAAACTTATACATAGCATCAGAACGAGACAATTGAAATTTCTAGGGTACATATTGAGGAAAGAGGGTTCGAAAATTTGATCCTAACAGACAAGAGGAATAGAGGAAAACAGTGCATAACCTACCTAGCGAGTTTGTGTAAATGAATGGCAGAACAGGGTTTAGCAGTGATAAGAAAAAGACAAAATTTATGAAGAGCTACAAAGGATAGGAAATTGTGGAGGACCATGATTGCAAACTTCTCAAAGTGACTCAGCACAAGACGAAGCATCTTTGTTTTGGACGAAACTAACCCCAACACAGCCTATCTCCTATACTAAATGTGTTATAAATGATCCATACACCGAGGATTTTTGCTAAATTGAAATCAATCTTACGCAGAGACCTAGAAAGGAAGATGTCATTTTACGCTGGTTTTCCAAATAGAGAGCGCTTTCCTGTCTTAAACATTCTTCAACATTCGAAATAGTGGCTTTGGCACTGCTTCTGGCAAGAGTGAAAAATAAGGAATTACCTTGGTCTTTTAGCTATTACTCTAGACTGACGGTTATTCAGTCACAAAGTGGTATTAATCTTTTGATTGATTGTAAGTTATGTTGAATATTATGGGATCTAAAATTTGGCTATCTTCATCGTAGAGTACTTAGACTTACAGATAAAACATGACGCTACAAGGCGATTTCAGTCTCCATGTTGAATTTACGACATGAAAATATACATGTAGGCAAACTGTTGGACAAAAGTTTGTGTAAGACAGAGTTCAATATCTGTTGCTAAGAAATAGGGTCCAAAATCAAACAAGTACAAAAATCTGGGAAGTGTTTTAACAGAGAACGGAAAGTGCGGCACATTGGGATAAACCGAAGATGCTTTCCAAAAGTTAAGCAAAGTATTAAAAAACAGAAAAATCTTGTTAGAAACAAAGAAAAGACTACTGAACTGTTACATGATATCAGTCCTCCATTATGATAGTGAACTTATATTTATAATCATGAAGAGGCAGTTGAAATTTCTAGGGCACATAATGAGGAAAGGAGGACTGGAAAATTTGATACGCACAGGACAGATTGAAGGGAAGAGGGACAGGGGAAAACAACGCATAACTTAACTGGTAAGCATGAGTAAATGAATGGCGTGACAAGGTTTAGAAGAGATAACAAATAGACAAAATTTATTAAAAGCTACAGAGAATAGGGAATTTTGGAGAGCCATGATCACCTACGTCCTGAAAGGACACGGCACATAGAAGAAGTGTCAGGGCTCTTGAGTAAAGAAAAGATTACTAGTTATTAACCCTTTGACACCTGCATTCCAGAACATTTTTAATCCTCCGACCTGATCTCCTGAGTCAAAATTCGCAAATAATTGGTATCTAATGTTTCACGGTAGATATAAAAATAGTTACCAGTGTTTACCCACCGTTCAACCGGCGGCTGGGCATTATGTAATTTTTCCCTACCACCATTCAACCGCTGTCTGGGCGTTATGTCATTTCTCTCTACCACCATTTAACAGCTCGTTGGGCAATACGTCATTTTTCTCTACCACCATTCAACCGGTCGCTGGGCATTATGTCATTTCTCTCTACCACCATTTAACAGCTCGTTGGGCAATACGTCATTTTTCTCTACCACCATTTAACCAGTCGCTGGGCATTATGCCATTTTTCTCTACCAACGGTAAAGCAGTAGTCAGGGATCAAAGGGTTAACAACATCGTTGAGATAGGTTACAGTTTAGAAACTTTGTAATCGAGTATTAACACGAATTACAAGAGGAAGTTTAAAATATTTACTACATATCGCAAAACGTCAAACGATTTCTTTTGCGGAATACCTGTACTTTTTACCGTTGCTTTAAAGCTTAGTGGTAGGTTCTTACGGGATGGTAATCCAGAGCTCTCCGTCTCCTAGACTGGTTGCCAACCATGTCTGATGAGTCTAGTCTATCCAACTATTTAACTCATAGCTGTAGGAGAGAAGGAAAAAATCTATATATTTCACAAGGATGTTTGGCCAAAAGCTAATGTATTGAACTATTGATAGTTGATTGAATTGTTTTTACGGTTTATCAACCTTTTGCAGGTTATTTAAAGACAGAAAATATTTTCTCATTGTAATATTTTTCTTAAAAAAATAATGATCCTACTAATTAACCCATATAGGGAGGGGACGAGATAGATTCATACCTTCCTCAAAGATATTTGCGCGTAAGTCAATATAACGAACACGACTGGGATTAGACCTCGACTCCACGATTTCTAATTACGAGCCGTTATCCATTACCCCACACATACATCCAAGCTTACGGTACCTAGAATTCCTATGTGGTCACTTATCTAGGTATTAAACAGGCTCGACGTTGCCTAACTTCGGTGATCGTAGGGAACCGGTGTATCAACGTGATATGGCCATGAAATAAGCAAATTTGAATTGGAACGAAGCAAATTCGAAATGAAATAAGCAAATTTGATTTGGAACGAAGCAAATTCGAAATGAAATAAGCAAATTTGATTTGGAACGAAGCAAATTCGAAATGAAATAAGCAAGTTTGATTTGGAACGAAGCAAATTCGAAATGAAATAAGCAAGTTTGATTTGGAACGAAGCAAATTCGAAATGAAATAAGCAAGTTTGAATTGGAACGAAGCAAATTCGAAATGAAATAAGCAAGTTTGAATTGGAACGAAGCAAATTCGAAATGAAATAAGCAAATTTTAATTGGAACGAAGCAAATTCGAAATGAAATAAGCAAGTTTGAATTGGGACTAAGCAGATCAATTATAGAAAAATATTTCGAAATTATCTGCGCGTTTCAATAAACAAATATCATGATTTAAAAGATCAATTGGGCGGTAAGTCATATAATTAAAATAACTTTGCTTAGTCCCAAATTGAACTTGAATTGGTATAGACTAGAATTCGAACACGCTGAGCCGAGTTCTCGCCCCGAGCCGGTCAGAACATGTGCTGCTAAGGTTAGTAAATAACGATGTTTCTTTTTTTTCTTTTTTTTGAGCAGAGGTTAACAATCTAGTCTTGCAGACCAATATAACAGCAAATGATTCGATTCCTACCTGGCCTCCTATATTTGTGACCTTATGCCCGGCTAAACCATAGCTGGGTTAAATAACTGGACAAGCCTAATCTTCGTACTTTATACTTTAGGCTTTTAACTGTAGCTGAATTTTAAAACCGATAATTGTATTCGTCACTCTCGATAAAAAATGAAGCTGGTTTTTAATCGAGTTTCTATTCCTCTCGACCATTACGAGGAGCAGCCTAAAATCAAATGCGCACGAATAGCATAAAACATTAAAACTGCTTGCCGTCCTCTGTAAGAAGAACGTCCCACTCAAATAGCTTTTTTCCAAGTGCCACTTTGTGGAACAGACTCCAGCGTGAGTGCCTCCATAGATATGAAAATCTTAACCTTAGTCACGGGTTTGTCAATTACCTATCACCCTTATCCTCACAATCCACACTTCCTATTTCATATATATCCCACACCTTCTTCATCATAACCATGGAAATAGCAACCTTCTACATTGAATAGCTCTCGAGCATTGAATTGAGTAAATTATGTTATAAAGGAAAAGAGTGCTCTGAGTTACAATATTACAAAAAATGAATGCTATATATTGGATTGTTTAGTTTTAACATCTCTCAACCTTTGTTGTGTTATTTCATGTAAAATTTGTTATGTACGGGACCCCAGTGAAGATTGAACTCGCTACTCATTAGTAATGGTCAATCGCAGTAGCCTCACTAACCTTTATTCTACGCTGAGTCGCTGGGAATGATTTAAGGCGTAAAACTTTCGGGTCGTTTTTTTTTTAATTATTTTTTTTTCTCGCTAGGTGCCTACACAAACCAGATAACTGTTCTTGCAAGGCAATAGATTTCATTCTTGTTGAGACGAAAACTATTCCCAGGAATTCGTTTCTGAAACCAGTGATGGTAATCAAAATGGAAATAATGAAGACGATACCGATTGATATTCCATTTCGCCAAAATATAAATAGAATTAAAAAAAACAAAAAAACTTTTGTAACGATTACAAAATTTTAGCGTTGGTTCTTTAAAAGCGTTAAACAAAATTAATTGTTAAAACAGTAGCATAAATTAATTAAGCTTTCCGAAATGGTTTTACCAGTTTGTGTTAAATTTTTCCCTGATGTACCGGACCCCCTGTCGTTAAAGAACATTGAGGATTGAAGCGAGAGCCAGACCCAAGCGTCACGGGGGTGTGCCACAGAAAATAAGTTATCGTTGGCGCTGGTAGCCAATTAAAGAGTATGGCTTAGTGATCAAAGTACACGAGCTTTTACATCCTTATCTTTGTTAGGCCTTTGACAGTTTTTCATCTGGTTTGTTTTGGACACCTAATTGTGAAATTAACCGAATCGAACGTTCTTTACCTAAAAATGGAGCAAACCTTTGGGAATTAATGAAATTGAATGAAAAGATGTTTTTATTATAGTTTGGAGGCTAACACATTGTTTCTAATGCAATGTGAACTTGGTATTTCAGAGTTAAATTCAAGAATTAAAATTTAGGACAATTTAAAATTTTATTACATATTTACGTCTATTTATTAAAAAATATTTATAAAAAAAATAGGTTCGTAAAAAGCATTTAGAATATAAAGGTTTGCAAACAAATCCGTATATACATTTAGAGTTGTAAGGTCTGCAGTAAATCATTAAAGTTTATATATATATATATATATATATATATATATATATATAACAAAAAGAACATAATGATATATTTCTAAACATATGTAGCGGAATGAGAACAATCTACTTTCATCTACTGAACAAAGTTTTGTAATTCCCCGATCGAAAGTTATCTGAAAAAGATCGGAGGTTTCTAATAATATAAATAAAAAAAAACTCCCACTCATATATATATATATATATATATATATATATATATTATATATATGTTCCAACGAGATAAAGTGTTCCATTTTAAAAAAGATATATATATATTTATGTATATATATATATATATATATATATATATATATATGTATGTACAGTGTAACCCGGATATAAGAGAGTTGTCAGGACCGGAGAAGAAGTCTCTTATATCCGGGTTTCTCTTATATCCGGGTTTGGTCTATTTTATATACATTAACACAGGCTCTAATTTGGGACCAGAAAAAATCTCTCTTATATTCGGGTTTATCTTATATCCGGTTACATTGTATATATATATATATATATATATATAATGTGTGTGTGTGTGTGTATATATTTATATATATATATATATATATTTATTTTAAAAGATAAATTATAAACGTTTTGCATGAAATTCCATTTTTATTTTTATATATATTATATATTTTGCATATATATATATATATATATATATATATATATATATATATATTGTAAGTAGAGTGGAGAGTTTTACGGGTAATTTTGTTACTGGAGTTGCGCAGAGAATAGATAGTTTCTTCCTTCAACCTGAATATCTTCTGCGTATTTCGACGGCCTCTTTGCAAAACAGAATCGACATTTGAGCCCACAAATCACCATATTCGCTAATAATTACTTTTATTACTGCTACAGTTACGACGTCTTCGAGTACGTGTCCCCAGTTATACAAGTATACATCTACGTGCATCTACATAGACTCGTCTTACCTATTACAAAGTGGCAAGCGAGAATAAAATAGTATAAAATAATAAACAGCATCTGGTAAATCTCGGTAGTTATTTGCCAAACGAGCGTACCAGCGAGAAGTTCATAATGACTACAGCAATTATTTGTACTCAAGAACATAAAACAAACATTTGCCCACATGGATGCTTCTCTATCCTTGCCGCTTGGTGTGCTTACTTTTTCACTTACGACCATCAAATGATTCTTCTCTTCGCTTGTCAAACCACTTTTACTATTTTCGTTATTTTCCTTTTGCTATATTAATTTATGTACACAATGGGAAAACTCGCCGTAGCAGCCATCTTTCATGTTTTTTCTATTATATTCTTACAATTTTAGTCAGCATTTCATTATTATTATTATTATTATTATTATTATTATTATTATTATTATTATTAAAACAACATTTAGAGAAGAGCGCGATTTAAGAAAAGAAAAGAAAAAAGTGTTTAACAATATTTCGACTTCGTGTCTGTCTTCTTCAGGTTATTTTTAAAAATTGTATATAAGTATAAAAATATTTAATATATTATATAATAAATAAAATGAAATATTTAATTTGTTTTAATATGGAATTCAACTGAAACGTGTGTAACATAAGGAGGTTGTGGTCATGTTGAAATTTCGGATTATTTAATTAGTTACTAAACGCTTGTTACTCAGAATGGTTGTTTCCCACTTCAGCTTATTATTATTATTATTATTATATTTCTGCTATGGTCACTCTACCTACCACGTCTGTGGGAAGACCTATAGCAGGTAATGGTGTGTTGGCTACATTTCATGATTTGTTTTTCTAACTCCCATAACATCACTAGCGTTACATGGACAAAGGTATTCTTAGTGCATGGACTGTACTTATCAAGACAAATTTTGTATTTCTCTTAAGTTGGGGTTTTCAGGGGTATTTTTTCATTCTGTTCTTGTGTTCCTTTTTTATCATTCCAAGCGCACCTACTATAAATGCTACTATTCTTGTTTTCAATTTCCACATTATTATTATTATTATTATTATTATTATTTCCTTTCATTTCTGGCGTGTACATATTTCTTTCCGGGTCCCGCCCAGGGACCTAAGGTTAGAAATGGCATCATGACACTTTCCACTGACTAAAAAAAAAAAAAAAAAAATATTACATAGATAAAGCCTTTCGTAAAGTGTGAGCTGTACTTGTCAGAACAATTTTTTGTATCTCCTTGACGCATGGACTTCCAGGAATCTTATTATTATTATCACTATTATTATTATTATTATTATTATTCACTGATTTTGTCAAAATTAATTTCTTCAACAATACTTTGCTTTTAAATAATTATGCATTTCTCACTGACGTCAGTGCTTCATGATCAAGACCAGTTAATATTCTATGATTTCTGACGTTAATTCTCAAGGAAGAGTGACTTTCACCATTTATTCGATTGACACAGCACAGTCTTTTTAATTGATATACTTTTACGATTCTGGACAAGGAGATTGTGTTACGTTGCAATGCCCTTTGGATTTCACCAATTGTCTATTGACTATCCGCGATTATCGAAACCCGATGAAACATGGCCAATGCGATAAAAATCACTGGAAGTTGTCAGTTAAATCACTGGTTCAAATAATGTAGAAAGCAGAAGGGGGCGAGCTTAAAAATATGTACCGTAGGTGATACATATAGGAAGGAGCGTTGCATATTCTCATAGATAAAATAAAGAGATCTGTTCAGCAAGGAAACATGTTTTAGTTATAAA